CGTAACGTCGTTGATTGCCATTTAGAAGCAGCGTGCACAAATAGTTTTCGTAATCGTTCTTCCTGCAATAATATGACTATATAAATACAATTTTTAATTTATATAACATACGAGCCAGCGTTCTTAGCGCTTCCACCAGTTATTGTACTCACTCCACCAAATTTATGCAATATTGTGCACCAAACTTTTCATTTGGCACCTTTTGTGTGTTGTGTGCTGATCGTAATTGTTGTTGCAGGCATTTTTGTAAACTTTTTGTCGTATTATATCCTTTGAAAAAATGCCGCATTTTAATTTAATGAAACTTCCAATGTTTTTGTTTACTACCAATTTGAGGTTATGGCATGGCTGTCAATAGAAACAGCTGACTCAGCAGCGATTGGCAACGCTAAAGCAGATGTTGTGAATTAGAACGGAAACGGAAATGCCTTAGTGGAAATGCAAATGAATTGCGCAAACCAAAATTGAAATGGTAGATTATACAGGGAATTCAATTTTTTTCAGACCAAACCATGGTGACCAAACGATAGTCATACAATTTTTCCCATTTTTGGGTTGTTAGCGTTCTGCACAGATCATTTGCTCTTCAAGTCACAAACCTGAAAAAAGGCACCGACCGCATTACAGTTTGCCGGACATCGCTTTAGCTAGCGGAGATCTGATGAAATGCGTTGGATGGTAACCAGTGTTCATGCTCGCATTAGCCTAGCTGCTCATAGTAAATAGTCGCGCCATTCTTCCATTTAAAGGGCTTACATTTTGTTTACTTCAGTGATCGATTATCACTTCATTTGCATACATAAATGTTTCTTCATAAATATTCAGGTATTTATTTAAAGTCCCAATTTGCATTAATTTAAACTTTATGCCTACCTTGTCACTTACGCCCATTAATTGAACAATTTTTTTACGTAAAATAATAGGTTTATTTATCCCAGCAAAAGGTCATTACATTTATTATATAAGTACAACAATTTATCACAACAATCTAGCACACTAATTGATAATTTAGAAATTATTGAGCAACACTGTTACTAATATACATACATATGTTTTTATGTATATCTAAATATTCTACTGACTACGTATTCACTTTTTCTTTGTGCTTCATAGAGTTTGCTTCAAATATTAATGAAATTAAACTTTCTTTGCACTGCAATTTTCAAGTTCCCGGAATACGCCGTTAGTATGTAGGAATGTGCGTACTACGAGTATATGTTTTATATATGATTATTTTTCCAAATCAGATATTATATACATACTCATTCTACATATATGTATGTATGTATATACGATAATTTTGGCTATTTTCTTTTGTTTGTTTAATATTTACCTTTTTTATGAAAGTATGTGGCTCATTATATAACAAAAACCATGTAAGTCCGAATTTCAAAATTCCACCAAAGTTTAACATTTTTTAATCAGTATCTTTAGACCAAATTTTGGTATGCGGTTTAAAGCCTATTAAATTTAGTTATAATAACGTTTTGAAGCCTATTAAATTTTTTTACGATGCTGTGCATATTTGACGTTTCTACAAAATACCGTTGATATTTGGAAATTTTTTTGTCGACGATGTTACGCATATTTTTCCATACACTGAGAAAAGAGTCAGCTAAATATATTTCTTTCAACACAAGATTTTGTAACTACATACATACATGTGTTGAGAGAAACACAGTTAGTTGACGTAAATAAACTTTTTTTTTTAGTGTACAAAGTATGCTCGACAATATTTTTATATGGTAGAGGCGGAACGATGAATCTGCCTTAAGTATTAGCTACTACAAACTTGCAAATTCAAAATTTTTTCAAAGAAATCTAATTGAAAAGCTCGAACAAAAGAAAAAGGTCAAATACTTTCGCCACTATATGTACATACATTATGGTGCCCCACAAAAAAAACAAAAAATATTGCGGTTTTTTTACCGGATCTATAAAATTTCCGCCAAAATATTTCGGCAAAATAATTAGATTTACGTAAGCTAGAGCGATTTTTAAAATGCCTCTAAAAATCTCATTTTTTGATTCCGTTGGAAACTTTTTTAAATACATATCGATGGCTGAGTGGAAGATCGACCTATCTCGGCAGCCAGTTCGAAAACATTCTATCTCAAAAAACTTTTCTAGAACGCCCTATTTCAGAATTCGTTTTAAAAACGCCCTATCTCAGCTGCCGATCCAAAAACGCCCTATCTCAGCATATTTTCAATACATTTTGAAGTGAGATAGGGCGTTTTTGAACCGAATTTTGAGATAGGGCGTTCTTGAAAAGTTTTTTGAGATAGAGCGTTTTCGAACTGGCAGCCGAGATAGGTCGATCTTCCATTCAGCCATCGATATTTTTATACAGGCCTTTTAAACTTAAGTACTTCTATCATCTGACGGCACTCTTTGGAAAAAATATGTATTAAAAAAATAGCTTTATTTATAAGTAAATCGATTTTTGAAAGTATTTTCAAATCGTTCCAGCTGACGTATGTAGATCTGAATATTTTTCCGAAATATTTTAATGGAAGTCTTAAAATATAATAAATTTTATTTTTAATATTTTTATTGAGCTTTGTACCACGATTGTTTATTAGGAAAAATTGAAAAAGCAACAAAGTCTAAGCGGTAGAAGTTATAGCACTATTTCGGAGA